TTTTCTTCTGCTCCCTCCTGTTACATGCAAGGAACAAGTAGGCCACCGTCAGAGCCACATTTTGATAGAGTCACAGTAACAAGTGATAAATGTGTGTGAACTGTCAGTGTCACCACGTCTCCATAAATCTGCTAGAAATGTAATTGTCTGACAACAAACACGATGCATTCAGTTTTTTTTTGCCTGACAGCTGTCAGAGCTGTTTGCAATCGCTGCCATTTCTGTTTCTGCAGATCAACACGGTGGCAGCTTCCACATATGATATCCGGCAGCATGAGGCCAACACAGAGCAGTTGAGGAAATGTTCCTGCTGTCCAATTTTAAAATATAGATTCATTTTGAAGTAGTTTGTTTGACCCTACATTCTTTCCTTCTTTCCAATAAATATTGTATCACATATCACAGAAGAATAACTGGAGGAATTATTTAAAATTGTGCATGTTGGCCTCTTACACTTTGTATTTATTTATACAAAACTAGTTATGAACCAGTATGTATTTAGGAGGATGAACATGTGTGTATTGTATTATCTTCAACTCTAATATGGTTGAAGATATTTCTCCCTTTTCCTCTTAGTATGCTGAATAAGTAACTAAGAGGGTCACTAAGGTTGCTGAATCTAGCGATAAAGTTGGCGGAACTGTGTGATGCTGGGACAATAAATCTGACCATGGATACATTTGAAAATTTGACTGGCAAAACATTGGAGACATGAGACTGATCTGACCACCATGGCTGATCTGCTGACCACTGGATAGTTTCAAATCGAGAATCTCTTAATGAAAATCAAATATAGCTCTAACGTTTACATTATGTGGTATCTGTTTCCTGTGAGTTGTTAAACTCTCTGATAGTCATCCTTAAAATCTGCGTTTCCATCTTCCCAGGGTGATGTCTACGACCAAATGGCCGCTGAAGGTGTCTGAAGAACGCCTTCAGATGTACCGAGCAAGGAGGAACCAGTACCTATCGGCTGCCATCACAGACGGAGACCACGAGCCAGATGTTGACCCCTACGCCTTCGAGGAAGAAGATGTCAAGTTCACGTTCTCTCACAAGAAGGATAAGGCAGGCGGGGAGCCAGGAAAGAAACATAAGGTACGTCAAACCAAGAGGAGGAGAGTTTCTGAGCTGGCAGTATTTAATGGATGAATTGTTCCTGGCTGTTAAAATGGTGCCTTTTGCTTATTCTTGCTCTGGGCCAGGGCATCAGATAGAGGCAGGGTCAAATATAATGCCATGCTACAACTACTATAATTTCCCCTGCATGAGTACTATCAACTAACAATGTAGATTAAACAAAGTTTTTGCATTATTTCCCTCACAACAATCTGCTGTTCCTTTCTATATTGGCAAATATTTACTTCTCAAATATTGAGCTGAATCTCCAACAGCACATGCTTTACACCAATATTTACACATTTGTTTAACAGAGCCTTTATTTCACTCAGTTTTGGATGCATAGTTGATAAGAATTTATTTATTATTTTTCATGCTATTCTCTGAAAGTGTTTTTTTGGTGACCAACTTTCACTGAGCTCTGCAACTTTATTACAATTTAGGATAAACATGTCATACTCACAAGAGACTTATGCATCATGCTTTATTTATTACCTCGTAGTGTAGCTTGTGTTGGTTGTATGTCTACAGCACAGCTAACACGTTGAATGCTCGGCTATTTCTGTCATAAACGTCGACTTTTCAATTTAACATCCTGTCATTTCTTTATTGTTACTAGTTGACCTGAAAAACTGACATAAAGAACTGACAACTCCACTTTTTAAAAAGGGGGATCAGAGGGTGTGTGCCAATTACAGAGGCATCACACTACTCAGCCTCCCTGGGAAAGTTTACTCTAAGGTACTCGAAAGGAGGGTCAGGCCGATTGTCGAACCTCAGATTGAGGAGGAACAATGCGGATTCCGTCCTGGTCGTGGAACGACGGATCAGCTTTTTACTCTCGCAAGGATCCTGGAGGGGGCCTGGGAGTACGCTCATCCAGTCTACATGTGTTTTGTAGACTTGGAGAAGGCGTATGACCGGGTTCCCAGGGAGTCACTGTGGGAGGTGCTGCGGGAGTATGGGGTGAGGGGGTCTCTACTCAGGGCCATCCAATCTCTGTACTCCCAAAGCGAGAGCTGTGTCCGGGTCCTCGGCAGTAAGTCGGACCCATTTCAGGTGAGGGTTGGCCTCCGCCAGGGCTGCGCTTTGTCACCAATCCTGTTTGTAATAATTACAAACAGGATTGGTGACAAAGCGCAGCCCTGGCGGAGGCCAACCCTCACCTGAAATGGGTCCGACTTACTGCCGAGGACCCGGACACAGCTCTCGNAAGCTGTAAAGTGCTCATTCCTTTCACCTCCACCATCCTTTGTGGTGCAGGTCCTTCTGCATTGCCTTGATTCAAAGCACAGTTACCGGCAAAGGCTGCAGCCAGAGCCTATGATCTATCGTTTGTGAGAATAGATCAACCTGCTGCAAGCCTTTGCCGGACGTTGCCTTTGATCAAAGTCAATGCAGAAAACCTGCACTCACACAGGTAGGTGGAGGTGAAGGAATGAGCACTCTTACAGCGCCTCTTTTCGCGAGTGGGGAACTCCGGGTCCTCCACAGACACCACAAGTGGCAAGTGTCACTTACTCGTCTTTTTCCGTTCTTTTTGTGTCTCACCTGCGCCTCCCCTGAAGCTCTCTGGCGCCCCCCAGGGGAGGCGCGCCTCACACTGAAAACCGCTGCTCTACATACCATCCAACCTCCTCAATAAACTCCAACATATCCAGAACTCTGCTGCCCGCCTCTCACCACACCCGCCTCCCGAGACCACATCACCCCATCCTCCAGACCTCCACTCTCCCCGTCCGTCTAGATCCACTTCAAAGCCCCTATTACTCACAAAGCCCTCAACAATCAGCCCCCCCCTACTCTCATATCCCTGCGCACCACCACACCCCTTCCCGCTGCCTCCGCTCATCAGAACCCAACCTCCTATCCATCCCACCCGCCACCAATCACCGGACCTGGGGGGACAGAGCCTTCTCCGTCGCTGCCCCCTCCCTCTGGAACTCACTCCCACAACCCATCAGAGACTGCACCGACCTCACCACCTTCAAAAAACTCACAAAAACTCCCCTCTTCAATCTGGCTTTTAATGTGTGATTTGTTTTTGTATTATTTGACTTTAACTTTAACTATATATTTATTTGTTGTTCCTTTCTTCTCTTTTATTTTGTCTTCACTATTATCTGTAAAGCGTCTTTGAGCACCTGTAAAAGCGCTAACAAATTAAATCTATTATTATTATTTATTATTAAAGGTGGGGTATGTAATTTTGGAGAAACCAGCTCGAGTGCGCTCGAATTTGAAAGTAAGAACACCCTTCATGCAGATCTAGATCGCTCCGCTTCGTGTCGGGGTCCTGATCGGTTATGGCTAGAAAGGATCCGTCTAGTGTAAAACTCTCGCGAGAGTTTGCAAGTCACGTGGCTGAATGTTTACGTTTGGCAGGCAGCCTTTCAGTTAGGATGGTTAACATCAGTGGGCCACAGCAAATGATCGTGAGAAGCTAAACTATCTATTAATTATGTCAATGACAGGGAGTGTGATTGTTGAAATAGGGTGTTAGTGGTCTTGCTGTTCAAAGAAGAATGACAACACTGTAGATCACCAACACTGCGGTTTATTTTTTATTCACAGGCAAGTCAACCTTGTCACAGTAAAAGTCCCAAGATAGCTCCTGGTGCAATAAAATGTTCCCTTTCAGTGTTTTACTATTATCCTGCTGCATGAATGTGTATGTTGCATCATGTCACTGCTGTAGATGTTTTTTCCGAGCCGCTCCAACGAGAACGTGACGTCATATTTACACTAGACGGATCCTTTCTAGCCATAACCGTCCTGATCCGCCTGTCGGGTGTTATTTTCCCCATAATGACCACGTCGCTGCACATTATCCCTTACCTGTTGTGGCGTGATCCATACATTAGATTTAAACTCAAGCGCTACTGCTATCCCTCTCTCTATCCGAAAGGATAAGAAAACAATTCTAAAAATAGCATACATTAAAACAAATTACAGAGCTTAAAATACATTTTGCTGCTCCCACCTTCCACATCAATACATTCCTTTGCTCCTGAGCTGGTTCTCCTGTCTTGTTTCTTCAAACTAGTTATATCTACAGTAGTCGTTGATATATTCACATTTTTTTAATACGTTTTTCATTCAACCCAACTTTAAACCATCCAAACCATCCCTTTAAGGTTATGTGAATATACCTTAAACATGAATCTCTTACGCTGTGTAATATAACTTAACGGCTAAAACATATCTTGATTTATTATTCTATTTGAGTTTTGTCTCTTTTGACTACAGGCAATGTGGCCATCGTAGGAGGATAGCGTCAATTTTTTTTTTTACATTCTCGAAAAGGTCGTGGGCTGTGACGTGTGTCCCAAGTTTTGCGTCCGAAACTCATTTAAATGCTATCGCAATTTTAAAAAAATGTATAGTGTGCGAAAAAGCACACGTCCCACCGTCCGGGACGTGTTATTTACAATATCGGACAAGTAGATCTTTCAATTGACTTGTCCGGCGGACAAGTGACGTTTTTCGCCCTGATTTATTGACAGATTATTAATTCAGTTTACAAAAGGCAGAACTCATTCGCAAATTGTACGTGTCCGCCATTGTTCGTTTAGAAATGTTAGTTTTGGTTCTGCTTGTCGATTCCTAAGGAAATGCATCTCGCCGCTTTCTGTACAGTTAGACGGGGACGGGGCGGGGCGGGAAGTGTAGCACAGTGGCGGAGCGGGGCGGGAAGTGTAGCACAGTGGCAGGGTTGGGAAGCAAAACTCGGTTCCGAGTAGGAACAAATAACAATTGTCCGGTACCGGGATTAATAAGAGTTGTGAGGACAGGAGGCGGAGCCCCGCAGCTCTCTCTCTATGCTCCGTATCATCTGATCGCTGCACGGTGCAGCTCAGCGTCTCTCTCTCTCTGTTTCTACACACAGCGGATCCGCTGCCCGTTTAACAGCCTCATCTTTGTCAAACTTTCTTATGTTCTTTCTCTAACACGTAATGAAGGTTATTAAGTGTTTTAGCTCCTGTGTTGTTAATATTGACCGCCATTTCCTTTATGAAGTGAAGCAGCCTCCCTGTGTCCTCGCGCTGTCCTCACATCCCCGGAGCCCCAGACTCGGAGGAGCACAGGGATGTCAGTATTGTTTATGAAGCAGGGTATAGAGAGTACATTATTGAAATGAAAATACTATTTATTTACTTTTACAAACAGTGAGCAGCTGGGCAGCTGCAGCATGTGTATTGCAGGACATGTGTAAGCGTGCAAGCGTCTTTGAGTTGTAGAAAAGCGCTAGGCCTATAGGCTATAAATATAATGTATTATTATTATTATTAGGCCTATGTTGGAAATGTATGGTTGTACTGTCTCACAGGCAGGTTGCAGTGTAACATCAGAGGAGACTGGACCAATTGTACATTCTCAAACTGCACCACTTAGAACTAACTAAACAATGCAGAGATTATTTTTATATAATTGTATTCAGTATCCGTAAGAAATTAAACAGTATGAAGTGATTTGTAAATAGGAATACAGATTTGACTTAATGTTTTCATAAATATATTTTTCTCCCAGTTTGTCATGGGTCTTATTTTTACCCTCTCAAAGAACCGGAATCGAGAACCGAAAATAACAGGAATCGAAAAGCAGAACCGGAATCGTTAAAATCCAAACGATACCCAACCCTATGTGTGATGCAGTAAAATCTTACCGCTCACTTACGTTAGCGGTGTCGTAAAAACCGTGGGAAAATGTAAAATACGATGGCGAAGAAGAAGATTCCAGTGGCCCCAATTTTTGTCCATTCTGGACAAGTGAAAAATGTATTCGGACAAGTAAATTGCCAAACTCACTTGTCCATGGACAAGTACTCTCTAAAAACTTTTTCTCACACTGAATAAGGCCACAGCTTTTTAAAGGAAGGTTCACTCCAAATGTCACAATGTGCAAAGACTTTCCTCACATGGCTCCCAAGGTAAACAAAAAAAAGAAAAAAAAGTCTTGAAGTAAAGTTAATGGGGGTTTCATTCAACAACAGCACAACTATATAATAACATCCATTTACAAACTCTTGCATAAGGAAAAGCGCTATACAAATCCCATGTATTATTATTATTTTTATAACATTAATCCAGTTGTATGCCTAACACGTGCAAAACACATCCATTCTCACTTAAATCATACTATTTAAAACACTTAACACATAAACAGTGTATGAGTGATTGTTAAGTGATGTTTAGAGTTCATTTAGCTGTTAAATGCAGCCATCATTTACCTAAATGCAGACTTTGGTGCTATTTATTCACCATAAAGGTATCAAGATTATTAATTTTTGTAGCAATTCATATACAAAAAAACTATTTTTTAAAATAATCCTTTGTTGACAATTAAAAAGGATCCCTATTGGACAACAAATAATACAACTCTTCTATTCACAGCTTGCAACTGTGGTCCTAACCTTCTAATTTTGGCATGAAAGGGGAAGCACATGTACTCAGAAAATACTTGTTTCTCCAATGCTCAGCACACAAAATGCTGTTATCTGACTGTCTCTCTGTATTTGTGAATTTAGTTTGAGCAATAAGGCAGTACGGCACGACAACATGCACTACAAGAGGAATGCAGAGTGAGCTTACACTAACAAATGTTTACACATGAGAGAACAAGAATGCGGGGGAACGAGGGAGAATGAGAAACGGGTAGCAAAAGGGAGCAGAGGGAGAGAGAAAGACATTCAATAAACATTTCAACGAGTGTCCCTCTGAGTTAAGGGTTATTTTTGGGCTGGCAAGCAACAGTGAGGAAGTAGAGAGGGGGGGGGGGAGATAGTGTGTAAGTAAAGCAGAGAGAGAGAGAGAGGTAGAGCACATCATGTCCCTAGCTGTATGTGGGGGGGAAACTCCTGGCACAGACCCATTAGGAGGAAGTCCCAGCACAACTCTCTCTGCTGCAGCCAGGGCACGTTCTGCACGGAGGCAAGGCAGCACCAGCACATTTAAATATCTTTACCAAGCACTCTTGGAACATTTGCCAAGTTTAGTGAAGCATAGACACACCTTCCTGCCTGCGCAATCCAGCGTAAACAGTCTTAACACTTTAATGTTTCAATAATTAAGAGCACTTTTTAAAATGGGACTCTTTGTTTCATGTTCTGTCATGCTCCAGTGTACTATAAGACAAAGATACATTTCTCAATCATCACCATCACAATCATCAAAAGTATAATACCAAAATTACAGTAATCACCATCATTATCTTAAGCCTATGGCCTTTTTTACTGCATAAAATAGCCCAGCAGCTAGCAGAATCTTTCCTTGCTCGCTGCTTCATTATTGGTGCTCTTTGCACATGACATGTTTATATATTAAGGCCTGTTATGCTTTTGGGGGGGGTTCCGCTTTCCTGTAGGTTTGTAACATAGGTGTATGTAAATGAGCTGCAAAATCTAAAATCCCAAAGTTCTTTCCAGAGGGAGTTCGTCTGAAACGCACATAGTGACATCACTATGTAACACTCGCGCTTCTACTATCTAGTTATCCAACTGATCATACGTGATATGCTAAAGGCAGGAAATCCCAATAACGATCGACCAATCTCAACAGAGCCGGCCAGCAAACCAATCAGAGCAGAGTGGACTTGTGGTTTCAGACAGAGGGTGAAAAGACATTGTGTTATTGTTCTTATTGATACTGTCACTTACATGTTTACTCTTATTTGTATTCTTATAAACCTTGTGTGAACTCTTGTCTGTGCTGTCCTGTGTTTGACTCCTATTCTGTTGCCGCTCTGACATCTGAATTTCCCTACGGGGATCAATAACGGTTTATCTTATCTCATCATATCATCAGCCACTGGGTCTCCTGACAGAACACAGCTGAGTTTCAGCCTGCATGCATAACTTGAACCAGAGAAGCATATTAAGCCTGGAAGATGTTACGTTCTCCGGTCAATGAAACGCAGATATAATGCTCTTTAATCCTTACTGATGTAATGAAGGGTCTATTCTACTGCCCTGATTATGGAGAGAGAAGAAAAAGAACAAATCAATAGAACTAAACAAGCTTGGTTTTTTGATTGTTCTATTTAGCATGCTGATAAGAAGCTCCCGTGTGTGTGTAAATGATCAGAGTGTAGCTGTGTGCAGTCAAGAGCAACAGTGACATATCATGGAGACTGTGAGCAGTGAAGTGGCATGGAGCCGCTGAAGGGGCCCATCTCACCACTCCAGTGATAATCCTCATCTTCAACCAAGTTGGCATTTTACACTCATTTCCCTGCTTTGCCTGAGGCAGTCATGCATGAGAAATTGAGCAGCCGGCTAAGGGGGGGTCCGGGGAGAGAGCAGAGGGTGGGTGTGGACGGAAAAGGGAGCGGAGTGTGAGTGTATGCTTCTGTGCACACAAACCAGCCGGCACAGCCTCGCCATTTATTCTGAACATCTCAATTAGAAAGGCTTCTGTCCAGATAATCATGATTACATGAGAAAGATAAGCTACATGGAATTATACAGAAGAAAGGCATGTAGAAGCCTGTCAGCAAGACCCGGCACAATATCACTGACCAAATGTAATCCCCACTAGGGTCTCAATCAAAACAATAGCAAAAGACGAAGTTTGGCAAAGTTTCACTTCAGGGTTGATTATTCAGGATTCTTTTATTGAAAGCAGAAATATCCAAAAAGGCCTCCTCCTCTTTAAAACAAACTAACCCAGTGTTTAAAACCCATAAAAACACCAAATTAGGCAGTTTCATGCATCCAATGCCTTGCTCAAGGGCACCACGGCAGGGCCCAGGAGGTGAACTGGAACCTCTCCAAGTACCAGTCATCACTGCATATTTAGGTCCCTACAGACTGAGCCCCTGCCTGACGTCTGGATCTAAAGTTAACTCTGATAATTTCTGATCAAATTCTTCAATCAATTAAAATATTTGGAAAACCCACCAAGATCTAAGAAATGTAAACATAAAATGTGGCATGAAACTGAATATGGAATTCTATTTATGACATAATCTTGCAGACAAACACTGACGCATGGTTAGTTCACAACTAATTCTTTACAATAGGTCTATTTGTTCTTAGTCATTTTGATGTGGCAAAATCATATATCATACTTAAAGCAAGTGGATAATTACACAAGTAACAGGGTTCTGCCTACCCACAGTTGTGCTGTAATCATTTAAATGTGCTAATATTCAATATCTCAGCTGTGTGACAACAGAAACACCTGCAGACTTCACTAAAGATGACAAACACCCACTCTGCAAACCTCACTGAAAGCACTACAGCAACTCACCTGTCCTTGTTGAGGAAGCTCATGACAGGCATGACGGGGTTGAGCATCTCCCTCCAGCTCAGTCTGTAGATGCAGTCCTCTGGGATTTTGATAGGTGGGAGACACTGGCTAGGTAACATCTTCAGAGGAGCGAACATGGAGCAGCCTACGAACGACTGGCACAGCTCAGGCTTGTAAACGAATGAATAGTCCTGCAATATAGAAGAAAGACAAGACATAGTAAGTCAGAAAGATATGATGGTTTCACAGATTCCTAATATGAAAAGGCAACATATGATAGTGTAGTCACCCAGCTGCCTCAAAATGAGCAAGGGAAAGAAAACTCATCCATCAATAATCATTCACTTTGACGTATGACATCTACTGGTTCAGGCAGTACATTTGGCCTATGTGTTCAGTCAGTTGTAATTGACGCTGCGATAATACCTGACAGATTTACAGGGACTCACTGGGACTGGGTGATATGGCTTATGAATAATATCTACTTTAGTTACGATCTATGTAGCTAGCAACTGTTTGATTTAACCCTTTGATGCTTATGAGCGCACCACACCCTCTGATCATTCTTGTTTACTACTGTACATTTAGAGGGAACACCGCTCGTAAAATGACACTTTAGAGAGCTTCATTCTCAAAAGGCCACATATTGTCTGAGTGATCTCTGAGGGGGTCTGATATATATTACTAAAGTAAAATTGTTCTGTGAAAACAGGAAGTTTCTCAAACCTAACCTGTTCTTCTATTTTGAAGTGAGACTGTTATTAGGCAATTCCATTCTTTATTTATTAAGTTTAAATAATTATTTACACAATTTTAAATATTTATATTTTTCTGTAAATCATCATTCATTCGATATAATGTTTTATACGTTTATTTAATTATCAACAGACTGATTGACTAAAAGGGAATAAAGGGGAAGATGCAGTTCACCTGAAGGTAACTTATTTTGAATTCTTCTTACATGCTTAAACCATATTATATATATTTACACGTTCTGCAAAACAACTCCAAGTTTGTTTTAACAACTTTTTAAAAGTGGACAACATCCATTAACTTTTCCTAACTCAGAAACAAATCACATGGCTTGTATGTTGCGGGAAGTAGCGTGAGTAGCTAAACATCAAAGTAATTCTCATGTCAGAGCCTTTAAATAATTACAAGTTGCAATACACTAAGATTGTTGGATATATTGCCCGAGCCTAAGACCCACCGTGATCTCAGATGGCTTGGGACTGCAGTAGCTCTCTTCCACCTCGATCTTGAAGTGTCCCAGAGACGAGGTGCCGTCCAGCGAGGTCATGCCCATGTTGGCCTCCATGCTGCCGTACTCCTTGCTGCACATGTTCATGGGTGAGTAGCCCATGATGTGCTGCTCGAGGGAGGGGGGTGTGGGAAACATCTGGTGCATGTCTGCTGAACCTGGAGGGAGATAAGAACAAGGAACCATCTAAATATGTTTATCCCAACACTGTTGCCTGAATTACACAGCTAACACTGCTAACAATAGCAAAATAACATCAATTATACTCTGTTAGCAATATCTTAATTGCCCTACAAACAGCAAACACAAACCGTTTCTTAAGATAATTATGTGACTCATGTAGATGATGTGTAATCTTAAGCTGTTAGGACTCTGCTGTTTGCTACTACGGCTTCTGTCAAGATGATTGCTGATGGAGGTTTTCTTGTTCTGCAACCAAACATGACAAGCAGCTGTTGTTATAGGCAGCTACAATGTATATACAAAGACAGATGAATACTTATTAGACATGCTTTAGGTCTGACAGGCAGCTCGCCTAGGAAATGTTTACATAGTTTGTCATCGTTACCTTGGCATGTTTGTTCACATTTTAAAAATATAGTAGCGGGCATATTCACAGGATCCAGCAGAGCGGAGCGCCTTCTTTTTACGCTTTTTTCATTTTCATAACATAAATCTGTTCTACAGAAGAAGAAGAATACGTAATGATTGATTAATATCTATATGTATAGGTGGCCATAGACAATAAATGGTTTAAGGCTTTGGATAGGGCATATCTAAGGCCTTAAACCATTTACGTTACTGTGAGATGTTCTGTGAGAGAGAACAAACAAAATGCATAGTAAATGTGCAGAGAATTTAACTGTACAGTATCTGAAGTATCTTAATGGCAGAACTGAGTCCAATATGCTTCACAGTAAAATATAATGTCCTTAAATTGTCAGTTAGCTGACACAGGAGACGGCAGGTGGATAGAAACACTGATGCACGTTGTCAAGTTAATCACAGCCATATTCTCCACCACTAGGTGGCAAAGCCATTTGTGAGCAGCATTGAGGCTTCAGAGGTAAAAGCTTTCATTTTATTTAGTGGATTAAAGGATATGATGCTGTTTCGCTCCACTGAAATTATGACATGGGGGAATACTGCGTTATAAACTGAAGTGGCTTCAGGCACAATCTCAGTGAACCATTCCTAATTTTCCAGGGGCTCAGGGGTATGACAAATCTGATTCTAGATTAACATTTGGGGTAAATCCCCAGCACATCAGTGTTCAGGGAAAAGAAAAAGAGAGAAGGTAGAGGCAGATGAAGAGATACATACTAATGCAGGACACGGGGTCCAGAGTGGAGGACTTAGATTCCTTGCTGCCAAATTTATCATCGGTTCCATTCACCGTTCGCCTGGAGCCAGGCTGAGGACAAAGACAAAATACGTATTTTAGCACTTGATCATTGTGGTAACTCAAAGTGTCAGTTATTACCACTTCTCTTGTTTCATCACTGTATTAATGTGGTCACCTGGGGCTACTGTAAGTCACTATCATCACACATGAATAGAGTAACAGGTGAGGGAGAACTGTCAGCTGGTGATGGGCAGAGTGTGCTGTGGTGCATGCATGCAAGTGGAAACACCAGACACTCACACACATACACAAAAGCTGTGCCAAACCACACTCTGTGTAATGAGATATTCATTACTGTGTGAGTTTCTACTAACCGCCAGTTCATCCTCGTCTGAATTGAAGAGGTGCTCCAGGTCGTTGATGGACACCGCCAGGTCGGTCTCGTGGATCAGGCTGGTGGAAGCCATGCGGTTGTGAGCCGCCGCCCGCTGAGCTTCTGCATAAACAAACAGACTCTCTGTTAAAATATTAATGTCAGCAAGTAGATATTAGGGGGCTTGAGAACTAAATGAAAGGCAGAAATTGTGCTATGATCGTTTATGCTGACTGACTACTGAGGTCAGTCTCAATTTAATCTCAGTTCAATCAACTCAGAAAGTCTTTTAATTCAATTATTTAAATACTTGCAGCATGATGGATCCGTGTTAAAATGACTTAAAAAGAAAGAAATGTTCCTTATTTAGTGGTTGAGTCTCTATTGACAAATGGGAAGACTGTACTGTATTTTTGAAGAACATGCCAAGGTAAATGTTGGTAAATAAAGTGTCTCCTTACCATCTGACGAACTAGATCCTCCATCTTCACCCTGTGAGAAAAGAAAATATGAGAAGTTTAGATGGAGGAATGACATTAAAGTAGTCATGCAGCCAGAGAGATCCATCATACTTGATTAAACAATGCTCAGAGTGCACAGTCCAGGCATTGTTTATAATAATATGACACCAACGCCAGTGCGATGAAGCTTTTTCTTGTGCTTAATGAGGGCCCGTGGCTGAGTCTGCTTCATTACCCTGTGGGTGTGTGAATCCTCTGAGCCCATAACTGTGATTAAAACTAAACAAATACATCTGACTGGAGCTGAGCTGGAATAAATCACAAAACAGAACAACAACAAATAACGTGTCATCAAGCAGCCACATTAAACTTCCACAGGGGCCTCCTGAGCGATGGAAAGCAACATCATGTGCCAAGAATTCAATACACTCGATCAAAAGGTGTTGATTTTATGAGCAGGTGCGCATTAAGACATTTAGGAAATGTCAATACATTACTTGGAAAATATTTGTAGAAGTCACATTTTTAAGACATAAACGGATGAAAAGGATAGCCTATTTACATTAGATTATGTATCCCAAACAAAATTAAAGAAATACATCTCGAAATATTACAAAAAATAAATATACATATTCAGATGTGAAAAAGATATATACTTTCTGCAAGAAAAAATATAATTTGTTTTATCGGTTGTTTTATATTGCGAAAGCTTTAACTTTGAAAACGATATATTGTGCAAAACAATACATGCATTTAGGATTGAGGAAAAAATATTTTCACTTAAAGGTGGGGTAGGTAAGTTTGAGAAACCGGCTCGAGATACACTTTTTGTTATATTCCATGGAATGCTCTTAACATTTCGATAGCAATGAATATCTGAAGTGCTTTGACAACAAATCCATAAAAAAATGTCATCTGTGGAAGCCGTAGTACTGTAAAAAGCACGACCAATCATTTTAGCCGGCCCGGCTAAAATAACTGGATGGCCTACCTGCCTGTCAGCCTTCCATCTGTGCACAAACTTATCTCGTGCCCTCATTGGTCATGTGCGTGTTCGTGTGTGTTGGAGGAGGGGCTCTTTAAGGAAGTGGCAGATTTGTTCCGGCTGTGTATTTTCAAATTCTAGCGCACTCGAGCTGGTTTCTCCAAAATTACCTACCCCACCTTCAAGTATTCAGACATAGATATTTACTAAGAATATGTTATGGTCTATTTAAACACAAGGCTTTAAATTAGATAGTGATAATCTTAATATATACAAAAACATCATTTATAGGGTATACTTTATATTGGTAAGTAGCTGTCCCCAACCCTGACATCTAAATTCCAATTTCTGTAAATAACACTTAAAACATTTTTTTAAATGTTGTTCAATGGTGTATTTAGAAGATCTTTATGAGTACATTCAAACATTGATTTATCATATATTTCACGTATTGTCGTGTGATAAAAATAAAATTTTCATTCTTCTTCATTATTCATCAAAATGGTTTGGCCGATACTTTGTACATTTTATCTAAAAATAACTAAACATGGGGGGCTCCTTTATCCAATCAAGGACAAAAAAAAGAAAAGCAACACGAGCCAGAGAGAGAATTGGACAGTAACAGAGGCAAAGAGAAAATAGACTGCTGGCCTCTGCTGTGGCAAATGAGATTTCCAGTGTGGATCGGAGTGAAATCATGATCCAAGGAATGGCCTCTTAGGCTCCCATCCAGACATCGATATCTGGGGGGGGGGCTGGACTTCTGTACGTGTGTGTGTGCTCTCTTATGACGGGTTGTGTGTACAATGTGCACTGAGCAGTTCTCGCTGTGCAACAGGAATGGTATGTCCTAGCCATCGATTTAATTACGCTCCAGGGCTTTTCTCCGAGTAACGCAGGCTTTAATCTGTCCTCCCTGAAAGGACCAATCCACAGCAGAGCACAACATCCACACCAAGGCCACAATCTATAGGTGCTAATGATGCTTTAACCCCTTGTTATCAATGATCTGGCCTTGGATGGGAAAGGATATATGCGTGGAGTCTTGACATATTACAGAAGCCTGTTCCCCCTCCAAGGCTGCGTGCATGCAAGCCTTCCATCACCATGTTCCTTCCTCTCAGCTCTCATTTATCTGCATGTATCTTATACTACATTCTTCAGCAGGATCTGACATCCACCTCTGTGTAGTGGTAAGATGATCAGATCATGGTCCATTGCAGCACGTGTGTCACATGGCCTGCAGCAGAGTCAAAAACTCTCCGGTTAAAGGATTTCATAGTCTGATCCCTGGAGATGCTCGATTATGGTTTACACAAGACACTCAATAGTGAGCAATAAGTAAGTGGTTTGAGGTTCTGCTGAGAAACTGGAAACAACTAGTACAGCTCAAAATCACCCACCAAAAAGCGGTGAATTGGATAAGAATTATACAAAATCCAGGAGCGCAAAGATGCATCCATGTATTCATTTAATGTTCGATCCAATATCATTGATGCAAAGTGGAAACACGGATACATATCATCATGCAGTCCAAGTGGCCTTTTTTCAGTGAATCACAGGAGATTTAGTTTCATTCAATAATTGAAAAAATAAGACCTTTTTTTCTTTTAAGTGTTTGGAAAGGGTTGGTAATAAAGTGTATATTTACATCATATTTAGCTCCTTTTTGTGAGTCGATAGAAATGCACACTGAGATGATTAATCAAACACATGGGTGTTAATCATCTCATATCGATCCAGGAGCACGATATGATTGAAAATCATATCGTGGCAGAATTTGTGATATAAGCAAATATGTTATTGTTACCGTTATCGGAAATTAAACCTCTGATGGAATCTCAAACTTTTACCTTGACAGACTAAATTGAGGAAGTTCCCTTTATGCAGCAAGTTTATATTCCTTTATCAGCAAGGTAGGAGGTTATGTATATTTCAGCAAGAAAGAAAGAAAGTTAAAGGGCCCTAGAAATATAGTTTTATCAACCTAAAGTAAAGAAATTGGAGAGGAACACGCGCACACACACATTTGGCGTATACCCACACACCACTTAAAAGCTGACAGTGTGAGGGCTCCACTGCACAGACTGCTCTTCAGGGACTCCCCGCTCCACTGAGAGCTGCCTTCACCCTGACATTCCTGCACAGAAGAGAAGCTACATATTTGAGAGCGCTTTTTAAACTTAATGGTTCAGTGAGCCAGGTTTGTTGCCGTGGTTAGACTCCAGGCTTTGTGAGGCTTGCTGCAGCCAAAGAACCAACACACACCCTGAATCTCCCTTTCAAAGCTGGGGGCGATCACAGCCAACAGGTGGCCCCCGTCTGGAGCCCGAGCCAACAGCCCCAGAGGCAGAGCACAGGAATACAGGAGGAAGCAGGCAGATCAAATAGGAAAAGCATAACAACTTAAAGGAAATTGGACAGGCTAACTATGTGGTGTTCCTCTGGGCTCGACTAACAATAGACATCCAGGGATAGCTTCCTGTTCAGTTAGACTTGTGCAGTGAAAGCGGATGTATGCAGAAAGCGCTTGTATTGTTATTTTTAGTGGAGTATCACAGAGGATGCTGATGGCCTATTTTCTACCTTGAATGCTCCCTGATCTAAAAATCAGCCCTCTTGTCCTTTTTCTTTACCCCAGGAAAGAGATGCAGGTATGAATGAAGTGGCTCCATGCTGCCTTTTAGGAACGCTTCCCACCACAGCCTTTTTTTGCATAACATCCAATAGGAAGTTACTGCAAACTGAATTGAAAGAAGTGAACGTGGAAATGTGCGTGGCTTATTTCTAGGCAGAGTGGAGTTCCATCCATCCATCCATCTTCTCCCGCTTATCCGTGGTCGGGTCGCGGAGGTAGCAGTTCCAGCAGAGAGCCCCAAACTTTCTTTTCCCTGGCCACATCAACCAGCTCTGACTGGGGGATCCCAAGGCGCTCCCAGGCCAGCGAAGAGATATAATCCCTCCATCTGGTTCTAGGTCTACCCCTTGGTCTCTTCCCAGCTGGACGTGCCTGGAACACCTCCCTAGGGAGGCGCCCAGGTGGCATCCTAACTAGGTGCCCGAACCACCTCAACTGGCTCCTTTCGACGCGAAGGAGGAGCGGTTCAACTCCGAGTCCCTCCCGGATGACCGAACTTCTCACCTTATCCCTAAGGGAGACACCAGCCACCCTGCGGAGAAAACCCATCTCGGCCGCTTGTACCCGCGATCTCGTTCTTTCGGTCATGACCCATCCTTCATGACCATAGGTGAGGGTAGGAACGAAAATGGCGCGGTAGACAGAGAGCTTTGCCTTCTGGCTCAGCTCCCTTTTCGTCACAACGGTGCGGTAAAGAGACTGCAGTACCGCTCCCGCTGCTCCGATTCTCCGACCCATCTCACGCTCCATTGTTCCCTCACTCGAGAACAAGACCCCGAGATACTTGAACTCCTTCACTTGGGGTAAGGACTCATTCCCTACTTGGAGTGGACAGTCCATCGGTTTCCTGCTGAGAACCATGGCCTCGAGACTGCCAAGGCACACAGGACATAGCTCTCGATTTGGGAGTACAGAGATTGGATGGCCCTGAGTAGAGACCCCGTCACCCCATACTCCCGCAGCACCTCCCACAGTGACTCCCTGGGAATCCGGTCATACGCCTTCTCCAAGTCTAACAAAACACATGTAGACTGGATGAGCGTACTCCCAGGCCCCCTCCAGGATCCTTGCGAGAGTAAAAAGCTGATCCGTCGTTCCCCGACCAGGACGGAATCCGCATTGTTCCTCCTCAATCTGAGGTTCGACAATCGGCCTGACCCTCCTTTCGAATACAATTATATTAAATAATAATGTAGTTGACAGTTGTTAAGCTTTGTTGATAA